TGACAGAAAACCCGATTTTAACAGGATTCTGCTCATAAACAAAAAGAAAATGACAGGAAATCAAAATAACATCTTCAATGTAAAATGAGTGTGGTCTATCCAACTTAAACCTAGGTTTACAGATTTGATTCAAATACATACACATATGACTTATTTTGCTCTCGAAATTTTTCTATTGCATTTAAATAATTCACACTTCATTGCGAAATTCTTTAATTAATATTAATTAATATTTCCAAACTGAAAATCCATTTTCTTCAAAAAAGTACGTAATGACTCTTTGGCGCAACTAATGTTTTAAGTCTCCCAGTCACTATTCACTTTTTAAAAACTCGACAAGCACCAGCATCTCCTCTGACTTTCGGCCGCTCCTACTTCCCCTTCCGAAATTCTTATAAAATTGTAAAAATTCAAAACAATTTGTTTAGCTTCCGAAGACAAATGGGTCAGTTTTTTATTTGCTGAGGTAGTTGGTCTTCTAAATTGTCACTAGGTTCGACTGCCATCTCCACTTCGTCTTCAAATTCTGCATTGTTTTCCATGCCTTCTTCTAACAGGGGAATAAAATGATTACTTTCAAAGTTATCTGTAATATAAATTGCACTATCCAGTGAAAACAGGGTCAAATCTCGGGAATTACCCTGCAGCATCAATGCTTTACCAAGTTTAAAACGGTCCATTTACATTTCAAATAAAAATTTCAAGTTTTTACATTATTCGTTACGGTTCATCTCAGGCAAGACGTACTTAATGCAGAATAAACATCTTAAGGTACTGTAAAATACTTACAACGTCAAAGCAATAAATGCACTATATTTTTGGTCGTATTATAACCTAGTCCTCCAGAACTTTTAATAGGACGCTGAAACGGGTTCCACCCTTTACACCATCGGGCGTTCCCGTCCCCCCAAATACCCCGAAATTCTTTGGATCGAGAACCAATATTACAGCCACACACAATGGCCTCGCTTTCAAACATTTTAATGCCTACCACAAAGTAATACGTGTGTGTGCGTGTGCTGGGGGGGGGGCACCTGTGCGCCATGCCGGAAATATTCCAAATTATAATAATGCGCGATCCAGCACAATTCGGAACTCTTTGCAATATTGAAATTTAATTACTCCATTCCGTAGTCATTAATTAACGCACACATACGCTCGGAGGTTGGGCAATGAATGTTCCGTTGCCTCTAGCGTCGCCGCTCAATGTCAGTTCCATTTACGATTGTATTAATAATAATAATAACTTAATTAGTATCCCGACCGTCAAACCGATAGATTATTCTACTTTGTTGCTCGTTCGCTGTAACGTGTTATACGTTCGATCTCTGTAGGTCACCGGGATAACTCGTAGGTATTAAGGGCAATCCGTACAGTCCCCCAGGCTCCGACTGATTAAAGAATCCTAAACGGCAATATAAGCGGGAACTGATGTTGTGAATGGGAATAACTAGAATGCCCCAAATATGCCTAGTTTCCCGCCTGCCGCCTTGTACTTCGCGGTTAGAACATACCGCACGATCTAACTATCTTCTATGTCAAGCTTCCGTAGTACAGCAAAATTGAATAAACATATCCAGTGTTATCCCTCATTTCGTAGGCTTGTTAGGATTGCAAGTTTAAAAACTAATTTTACCCTTAAATCCAACAGCAGATTCGTCTACCGATATTTCTCATGATGGAACAAAATATTCTATGAATTGCTTGTTCTGAGTTCGAGCCCTAAGAGTATGCTCCTTTGGATCATTTTCATGCTAGTGGAGCATCCAAAAAATTTGTGAAAATCGTTCTCTCTTAGTATGCTACTAAAAAAGGGTATTTTGGCGTTAAACTGTAGTGACCAATACTCTTGGATGTTAGATAAGGTTATTGTACCCATATTTAGGACAACCCCAATAAATGCGGTAAACTCTTCTACTGTAGTACCTACCCACGTTTTGACAATCTCTTCTGTGTTTTTTCAGGTCTAGCGTAGTTATTCTTTGTTTCACTATTTTTATTAATAGCCCATCGATGAAAAAGAGCTTGAGAAAATGTTTGGGTTTTGTACAAGAATCAGCAATTTGTGGTCCTACCATTTTGTCCCCAGAAGTAAATAAAATTCTGTCTGGTACCGAAACGTGGCCTGTGACTTGGCTCGTTTTCTTCACTGTTGCTTCAACTTGATGGCAAACGTTTGGTTCTCTGTCGTTTTGTAACTGATGTTGCTAATATTATCACTATCCAATCTATCATTTCCAGGCGTGTCAATATAAAATTTAACGTTCATCGCTACTTTGCAATTTTCGAAATATACACCTTAAAAATACATCGAACTTTGTCCAATAGTGTTAGTTATAAAACTGAGTAATATTCAAAATGCAAAAATGGTGCAGATGTGAACTGAAATGATTGAAATATATACATCAGCAGAACACTATATGTATGTGTGGTGCAATAAAGCAAATAAAAAATTATCTTGATAATCGCATGCAGCATGTTGAAACAAGTTTAGGTCAATCAGCTACAGAAACTGTTAGTTGCGGTATGCCGCAAGGTTCCATACCGGGGCCACTTTTATTTGCAATTTACACCAGCAATTTTGTATCTTGTATGAAAAATGTTACGGCATTTGACCCCAGTACTCGGTATACGGCTCAAAATTTGATCAATGCAGATTTAAAAGAAGTAACAGATGTTCGCAGATTGAACCTGAGATTTAGGGGTCTTATCTCTCCACCACCACACAGGACGTTTCTTTTTCAAAGGAGCTTCTCCTATAACTTTACAAACTTTACAATAACGTTCCTCTCTCTTTAAAAGCCTTATCACTATTAAACTTCAAAAAAAAAAAAAGACAAGAAATGTTCAGCCAACAAGCAAATGGCAAGTTCAATCCTAAAATTTTCTATCCAATTTCTAATTTTTATATACACATTTTCTTTTTTTGCGAACTGATAATCTTAAAATAGTTGCTATATATTATTTTATAGGGGTTGAACTTGGAACAATTTTAATTGCTTTCATCTCCTTTTTTGCAATTTATGTGGTTTACTGGTATTTTATTGTATTGTTAATTGAACATTGCAGAATAAATGTATTATTATTATTATTATTATATAAAATAAACAGCTTACGATGGCATGTATAAAATAAATATCATGTTGTCTTTTATTTTTACGTAAACATATCCTCAACAAAGGTTTAAGAAAGCAATTTAGAATTATTAGAAATGAGCGTAGGGGATGACAGACCGGCCAACCGACGCCATACGAGTGCCAAGAATGGACCGATCTCCTTTAGTTTACTGGCCGCGTACACTCGAAATTCATTTAAATCCCTAAGGGAAATTGTCGACTTTCAATTACTGTAAACCCTTTAGACTCGAGACTCGGTCGTTGTCGAGAGAGTATCACCAATTAGGCCCGGAAAACAAAATATTTACATTCGCCCCGCGTCCTAGAAATTATAATGAGTCATAATCCAATTTCGCCGTTGAAGAATTAAAGTCCCGAAAATTCCGTCCGTTCCGAATAAAAAAAAAAACATAACAAAAGGGCGCGGGAAGGGCCGCCGGCGGTCGGCGCAAAGAACACACTAAATAATTTGTTCAGATAATAACCTAGTATTTATTTTGTTCTCGAAGCAACGTCCTTCGTGTATTGCCTCCTTAACAACGACCGGATAAAGAGAGTCCCGGAGTTTTAATTAAATATTTGATTGCGACTGTATGCGGGAAAGACCGTTGCCAAGGGCGACCCTTAAAAATTTGTACTTTTTTTTACGCGAGGCGTCCCCGAATAATAATAAAAGCGAGGAATTCCAACGCCGAAAATAAAAAAGAAAACAAGAGAATGATTAACGGAATGTCTAATAGTATAACATATAAAAATTAATGATACAATTGAAAAGAGATATGTGCAAAAGAGAGACTGATACTGAAAACAATTGGATCAAGAGAACATTTATATTAATATATTAATTTAAAATGTTGTATTTCAAAATTTAAAAAAAAAATCAACATTTTGTAGACAACAAGCATTGCAAAAGTGTTGCATACTATACTTTTTCTATGACCGTTAGTTTTTGGATACATTATCGCATACATATCGTATCGGTATTTAAGGGGTGGTGGGGGCGGGGTGCCCGCCGCGGGCGACGAAACACTTCGGCCACCAGATGGACCCGTTGTGCCCCCAGATCACGATGGAGGGCGTCCGGAATGTCGCCCCCCCTATAGAAGGTCAACAACTCCATTAGCCCAATACCGTGCTCTGAGTCCAGATCGATTAGGGCCGTTGACCTACGATTTGAAAAGTACACCTCTGAGTGCATTAAGAAATCATATAACTCTCGTCATGTCATTAATCGGATCTCAGGATAATGCCGCGTGATTCACTTATGCTCTCCACTTTCGGTCCTTGTTTAAGAGCACAGAATGCAGAGAACATTCAGTATTATTGTATACGATTTATCTGCGGTCAACCAATTAGTTACAAATCTAAACTGGCTTAATATGAGGTGCAGACGCAAATTGTATTGTGCATTAATATCACAGAATAATTTCATTTAAAAATTTACCTTGCCTTTATTAAAGACCTGGCTGAGTTTCACAGATATTCTTGTTTCTCTGTTGATGTATGTTTTTTTTTTACCTAGATATATGTATAATTGCTGCGTGATATGTATTGCTATTTATTTGGTTAGTGGAGGATCCACTCTTTATTTGTAAAGATAGAGATGAACTTCGCAAATTCAGATACTTCAGTCACTGACTTCAGTAATGTATTCTATTCGTAAATAATATTATTAATATAACTCAGTTATAATATTTATATTAAGAGATAACAAATTATAAGTTTTTAAAATTCCGCAAATCCTTTGTTATTGTTATTAGTTGACGTTGTTTTATACTTCAAACGAATACTCAAATTAATATCGGACAAAAGGCCCACTAATCCAAATATTATTAATTAATTAGTTAATTCGGCTGTAGTGGCAATTACGTTAATTAATTTCAGGTGTTTTCTCAAGCCGAAGTGTGGTTTAGTTTGGACGGGACGAGATACCAGCCAGATCCGGCGAGGGTCCCAATCCTCCCCGATAGGGCCAGAGAAAACGCAAGGAATATCACAATACGGTTGAAAGGGAGACCCGCGAGGTAAGAGGAATATTTCAACCGAATTAATTAATTTTCGTTTGCTGGAGTCTTAACGTTAAGGGACGTTTTCTTTTCAGGTTTATAAAGTTGCGGCTGTTTTTCGCGGACAAGTGGATCTTACTCAGCGAAATTTCCTTTGAATCGGGTAAGAATCATCCTAAAAATATGTTTTCAGCTACCCTGGTGTCGAGTAATTTTATTCGGGAATGATTTTTAACATACTTAACGTTTTTACAAACAGTGTTAACGTAACATTAACGTGTTTCTAAAAATCACTATGAATTTTAACTTTCACCAAGTATCGTCTGAAAACTTTGAATTCTTAAAGCGCCCTCTCCTAATTACTCCTTTTAAATGAAGTTTCACTTCCTCTTTTTAATGACTAACCATTTTCAACGTATATATTGAACAAATTCATTGATTTATAGTATCACCTTCTGCTTAAAAACAGATAAATTGAGGAACACCCTGTATAATCAGTAGAAGCAGTAAAAAAAAGCAATATCAAAGAGAAAATTTAATCCTTATGATACTTATACTTTATATCTTAAAATTATATATATATATATATATATATATATATATATATATATATATATATATATATATATATATATATATATATATATATATATATTCTCACGTATTGATTCACGGATGGAAAAATGTGATGACACTATATTCCGGGATATCATCCGTTCGCTCGTTGAACTCCGACTGGAATCCTGCAGACGTTTCGCCAAAATCTCACTTGGCATCTTCAATGCTCGCGCTCCGAAAGTTCGAAGTGTTTTCGGAGCGTGAGCATTGAAGATGCCAAGTGAGATTTTGGCGAAACGTCTGCAGGATTCCAGTCGGATGCAAGATTTGCAGGATTCCAGTCGGATGCAGGATTCCAGTCGGAGTTCAACGAGTGAACGGATGATATCCCGGAATATAGTGTCATCATATATATATATATATATATATATATATATATATATATATATATATATATATATATATATATATATATATATATATATATATATATATATATATATATATATATATATATATATGATGACACTATATTCCGGGATATCATCCGTTCGCTCGTTGAACTCCGACTGGAATCCTGCATCCGACTGGAATCCTGCAAATCTTGCATCCGACTGGAATCCTGCAGACGTTTCGCCAAAATCTCACTTGGCATCTTCAATGCTCGCGCTCCGAAAACACTTCGAACACGGAGCGCGAGCATTGAAGATGCCAAGTGAGATTTTGGCGAAACGTCTGCAGGATTCCAGTCGGATGCAAGATTTGCAGGATTCCAGTCGGATGCAGGATTCCAGTCGGAGTTCAACGAGCGAACGGATGATATCCCGGAATATAGTGTCATCACATTTTTCCATCCGTGAATCAATACGTGAGAATATATATATATATATATATATATATATATATATATATATATATATATATATATATATATATATATATATATATATATATATATATATAATGCTCTTACGGACATAATAACCGTGGACATCCTTGTGTTTTTGATGTGAATCTTTATTTTTCTGTATAATTAAGAGTATTTGAAATGTGAAAATATCTCTTTCCGGTATTCATTATCATCATTAAATTAGTTGGCTGATGTATAGATTTTCACCACTGACAATTATGAATAACTATCTCACCACATAAAAAATACACAAAGAAAAACAACATTTTGTTTCAAAATTAATTAAATCCCTTTTACTTAAACTTAACATATTTTAGATTATATTGTATTAGATCCAGTGTGGATCGACCACATCGTGATCTGTGGTTTCGTATCTATTTTGCTTTTTTATAACAAGGATTCAACATAATTAAAACTCGAACATTGTTCTGAGCCCAACTCGGCCGTGAATTCGGAAATTTTGCGAGAGGAATGCCGAGATTAATTTCTTCCCTTTTTCCGCACGAAATTCTCCAACTCTAAACTTCATTACGATGGATTTTACGAGATTTTTTACAATTTCCCTCCCCATTAACTAAATTCTAAGGAATTATGATTTCTCCGAGATGTAATAATGGTCTCATAATTTTTTAACCGTCCCGCTCGGTGATTCCAGAAAAGACATTAATCAACCAAAAAGGGGGAATTAATCCGCCAGTAGTCTGCAGTCGAATGTACCAAAACCAATAGCAGTGATATTGACATCGTCCAAGTATTATACTGTCGATAGTGTCTTTATTACTATTTTACCCCATTAACCAAATGTTCAAACGTAATTTGTGCTATATACCTCAAATTTAAATTAAAAAAAAACTGAAAATCTTGTGTGTTGTGTTTGGTTATTTTACAAAAAATGTTTTTGGAATATAAAACTGGGATAGCAAAATTTTTGTATTGTTTAGTTTAAGCAATAATTTGTTTTTTTTTAATGGCTGTGATGCGAATTTAAAATAAAATTATTGATAATTTTTATTTAAATTTTATTGCTATATATCCTTCTTAAATATTCAAATATTAAATATTACAAAATTTTTATTATTATACATTTCCAATTTCTATTTTTAATTACAAATAATCAAAGCACATTTTTTTAATGAACATGCAATAGACTCTTGTAACTATCGATTTCTATGGGGGTTCTGGAGGGACAATTTCAGAAGAGAATGACAAGAAAAATTTTCTCCCGGATCGCAAAAATTTAAAACTCCCCGAATGACGCCTGTATCGTCATATTTTATACTTTACGTGTCCCACGTGAGTTATAAATTAGATTTCGCTTGCTTTAATAGGTCCCAATTTTCTCCAACTTGTAAATTGCAACTAACTAACGAAAGTTGAAGTTCTCTGGTATCGAAGCAACCGACGAAGTTCGCAGGAATTAAATTGTGATTTAGTTAGTTCATTCCCCGTTTTTTACACCGGACTTTGTACATTATAAGTTAATGATTTCTTTTATATAAAAAATGTGCCTGTTTTTTGTTAACGGTTTTGCCCTTATTTTTTCTTCCGCACCCTCTAGACATCCACTTCTGGAGATAGGCCTCTTCCAGTGATTTCCATGCCAACCTTTGCTGTGCGGTTTGCATTCAGTTTTTCCCGGTATGTCATTGAATGTCATCTATCCATCTCGATTAAGGACGCCCCACACTTCTTTTAGTTCTCCTTGGACGCCACTGCATTAGTGTTTTGGTCCTTTTCAAATTGTTTCTAGCAACGTCACCTGAGACTCACTATCCGCCCTACAACGTCACAGACCCTTGTTCTTCTCCTTATCTCTTCGTTTCTGATCCTCTCTCTTGGGCTTACACCCAGCATTGCTCTCTCTATTGCTCTTTGACAGACTCGGAGTCGATTTGCACTGCCCACTGTAAGTGTCACAGTCTCGAGTCCGTATGTTGTTACTGGGAGGATACACATATTGTAGACCTTCTTTTTCAAATTCACTGGTATAGTCGGGTTGCGGAAGATATAGCTAAGTTTCCCGAATGCTATCCAGGTGAGATTGATTCTTCGGGTGGTCTCTGCTGTCTGATTTTCTTTCCCAATCTGGATGTTGTGTCCTAGATATATATATCCCTTGACATTTTCTAGCTCGCGATTTTCAATGGAGACCTTTATATTGTCAGGGCGCAGAAGTTTAGTTTTTTGGAGGTTAATTTTGAGACCTACAGCTTGGGAAGCATCTTTCAATTCTTGAATCATTGTTGTCAACTCATTTGTGTTGCTGCTGAAGAGAACGATGTCGTCCGCAAATCGTAAGTGGTTGAGGCGTTTTCCGTCTAAATCGATACCCTTCTCTTCCCATGGTAAACGTTTGAATATATCTTCCATAGCTAGGGTAAATAACTTAGGTGAGATTGTGTTACCTTGCCTAACGCCTCTTCTCACTGTAATCTTTCCGGTGATCCAGTCTTCATTGATTCTTACATGTAGGGTGGCAGTTTCGTAGATGTATTGTAGTAAGCGAGTATATCTCCAGTCTACGCGGACATTGTTCATCACTGCCCAGATTTCGATTGAATAAAACGCCATCTGGTAGTCTATAAAGGCCATGTGGAGTGGGACATTATATTCCGTACATTTCTCTATCAGCGTGCGTACTGTCTGGATATGATCGATGGTGTTGTAACCTTTTCTGAAACCGGCTTGCTCTATTGGTGGGTAGAAATAAAATTTTTGGCTCAGGCGGTTTGCGATGATTCTGGTTAACAGCTTATAAAAAATAGATAGCAGACTAATTGGCCTGTAATTTTCTATGTTCGTATTGTCGCCTTTTTTAAAAAGAATAACGACTTCTGCATTTTTCCAGGATTCTGGAATCCTACCTTCCTCGAGGCATTTATTCAGTAGGATTATGAGTGCTTTTTTGAGTGTCTCTCCGCCCATTTTAAGCATCTCGCTTGTGATTCGATCCTCTCCTGGTGCCTTACAGTTTTTGAGTTGTTTCAGAGCTGCTTCCATTTCGCCATTATCCATAAGTTCCAGTTCATCTGATCCTACGTTCATAATAGAGTTTGTCTTGTCATATCGATCTTGGTTTGGGTTTGCTATTGATTGGTTGTATAGGTTCCGATAGAAGTCCTCGACTGTTCTGATAATTTCATCCGTTTCAGTAACAACTTCTCCTCAGCTATTTCTCATTTTCTGGATGGTTAGTTTGCCTTTCGATTGTCTAGAACGAAGAACTCTCATGTTCCCGTTGTTTCTGATAGTCTCTTCGATCAGTTTTGTATTCTGCATCCTTTGATCTCTTCTGATTGCCTTCTTAACTCTTTTGTTGAGTTCTTTGTAGTTCTGTGAGCCTCTGTTGGTGTTTCTGCGTTCTTCTATAAGTTGTTCTGTTTCTAGGCTGAATCCCGAATTTTTGTGTTTTTTTAGTCCAATAACTTTCTTTACTGCTGTTCGAATACTGCTGGTAATTTTTGTCGAGAGTTCGTTTAATTCCAGTTGTCTTAACTCTTCTGTTGGTTGTTTCGCGTTTATGCATTGGTTGAACTCCTTCTCTTTCTGACTTAGCTCGCTTATTTCGGATCGAATATTTCTTTCTATTTTGCGTTTCCTTTCTAATCTAGTAAATATTTAGTAAAAATATATTAAACAAATATTAAACATTTTGCATATAATAGCGATTTCCAATTATATTTTTTCAAATATTT